AATGAAGGGTCCTTCTTCTTCACGTCATTGCCATAGTCTTATCCTGCCTCCATTTTTGGCTGCATCTGCCACAAGTCTCACCGCTTGTTCATTTGATTCTGTGATTGGGGATCGCGGCACTGGTTAACATTAAAGTAGATTTGGTATAGCCCATTTGTAATATTAACACATGGCAAGTAGTCCAGTTTCTTGCTGTGTTTCTTTTCTTTTCTTTTTTTCTTCTCTTTTTTTTTATTTGCAAGTCAGCAAGTGGGAGGCTTAAGTTGACTATAAATTTGGAAGGCAATCCAGGGACTGGAACTGGGTCTCTCTTCCCCTCTCTCTGAAAGGGGGGGGGGGAGTGTGTGTGAGAGAGAGAGAGAGAGAGAGAGAGAGCGCTATTGGCCTCAAAGGAGCTCCCTATATCACTCCAAACATTCTTCTTCTTCAAAGGCATATGGAAATTTTCAAGAAAGCATGGTATCATGAGAAGGAAGAAATAAAGAAGGCATGAAGACAACTTGGACGTTTTGCCACAGAGATGTTGATGAGGTTCTGTGACTTCGTTATTCTTTTATCTATGCCCTTTATAGTTATCATCGACAGTTTTGCTTTATTTTTCCATAATTGCAGGAATAGATTATTTAACTTGTTACTCAAACCAGCTAAACCAACATTTTATTGTTAGATGTAATTCAATCTTTTGCTGTTAAAACAGTCCGAAGAACTTAATATAAGCTTAACTCATGACTTATACACAACATCTCTATTAAAGTTTTATGATTTATATTGATATTAATATTGATCAACACTATATAGTGGATGGCATTCATAATATTGAGATTATTTTTCTAATCCTGTAGTCTAAGCCAATTGTAATTTAAATCTATCAGTTACTTTTACTTATCAGATACTTGTTTATGGCTTCATCATGAGCCAACCAACTTCGGAGAAAGATACATCCACATCAATTGCACGTCTAATTCTAAGATCGAGAAGATAGAGAGGTAAAAAAATATTTGATTATCCATAATGCTATTTGAAGGCTCAAGACTATTTGAGGAGTGCTTCCTTTGTGTGTGACTTAATCTTTGAGAGAATTAACTTGACTTTACCCTGTCATGCCACCTTTCTTCGATTTAGCATATGATCTTAAGAAATTGCGAACCAAAGCATGACAGACAAAAGCGTTGTAATAACTGAGAACAATCTATTTTGTTGTGAAAACGAATGTTTTACATTGCATCATTAAAAATGACCGTAAAAGTCACCATACTGATGACAAAAGATGAAAAAGAATGAAAGAATTTAAACTTAAATTACCATATCAACAAACCAATACAGGAATGATTCCTGAAAATGATAAATTCAAAGCTGAGATTGCTGTGTTTTCGTCTAAGAGGCATTGCATTCTGGAGGAAGGCCTTGAGGAAACCTCTTAACATCTGCACAGTAATTGTAAATCAAGTAATTTTGCTGAACCCATCTGAGCCTCTCTTGTGCAGTAAGTGTCAAGCTCTTGCGAGAGCCACGAGGAACTTGTGGAGGATGAAGTTGATGAAGTTGAAGTTGAAGGACAGGATGATTTGCCAGAAGACCAGACGCAAGCATCAGCTTTGAAGTTTCTGTAGGAAGCAGTGAAGGGAGCATGAGTCCAGTCCGTCTTCACAAGGCCACCTCTTGTTGCCCAGTCATCTGCATTCCACAGACTTGAGTATATCCTCATTGGCTGGCTCTTTGGGAATGGGACACCAATGGACTCTGAGTTCTTGAACTCTCTAATAGGAGTTCCATCCACTGAGAATCTGAATCAACAAACGAAATAACATGATATGTCAGTCTACGCAGGATTAAAAGCACAGAAGAGAAACGCAGGGATATAGTTGTGAATGGGGAAGAAGAACTTACATGATCCTTTGGGGGTTCCAGAGGATAGAGTAAGTGTGGAAATCTGCGGCTGGATCAAACCAGAGATAGAATTGCTGCTCTCTGTTTCCTTTTCCCTCGCTAAACACGTTGGTGTGAAGAATATAAGGATCACCACTGAGATTTCCCAGAAATTCAAAGTCTATCTCATCCCAAGTTGATCCTTTTGATGATAACTGCAAGTGCAGATTTATATTAGCCACATAATGGGTATTAATCCTTTCGAGGGTTATTCTGTAATACAATAATAGGAACCAAAAGCAAAAAAGAAAAAAAGCTTACATAATAAGCAGTAACAGTGCCAGCAGAGTTTCCAGGAACCAGCTTGAGCTGCAAATCAATCTTGCCAAAGAGATACTCATTCTTGGATTGAAAACCTGAGCCTGATGCTTTGTCCAGCGAGAGAGTGAGAAGCTCACCATTGTTAAGCAGCTTACCTCGACCGTCCCCCTATGTAATGTCAAACTCCTGGTTTAAATTACCAGCAAGAACAACAACCATGAGAGAGCTAACAACGAGAGGAACAAGAGGCATTAGTGATACAGTTGTAAAAGAAGCCATGTTGTAACTTGTAAGAGATGGGAGTGAAGTGACGTTTAGCTAATTGATAAAAGCTTGAAGGATGAGGATGACTATGAAAAAGGATGAGAATGGTATTTATAAGAAGAATGGGAAGCGAGTAGAAGGGAAGGAAAGGGACAGGAAGTTATAGAGGGAGAGATAGCTGTAATGTAATGTTCCTCAAAAAGTGAAGACATGAGTGACAAATTAGCTGTCCAGAGCGCACTCGGTGAAGGAGATATTCTGTACAAAATATTTGAGACGTTGCCGTATTAAATTTGGAATTAGTAAGGCAGCTGCAAGCCTGGCACCATCCCGTTCGATTAATTAAATCAATGGGGACCACCTCTAATCCAACATGAAGCGGACTAGGCTTCTCTCCCATGAGAGAAGCCTCATTTCCCGGTAAAAAAAAATCTAAACTGTTCATAATACTTTATTTTACTTTTTTTTATATTTTAAAAATAATAAATATATAAAAAATTATAAAAAATTTAATAAATATATTTATCAATCTAAAAATTCAAATTTAATATAGATGATCTAAATCTAATATAAAAAATTTAAATTGACTTTTCAAATATATTCTGGACAATGTAAATATATTTTGAACAAAATAAAAAATTTATTAAAAAATTTTAATATTAAATTTAGATCACCTATATTAAATCTTGACTATCAAATTGATAAGTATATTTATTAATTTTTTAATAATTTTTATATATTTTTTATTTTAAAAATAAAAACATTAAATTTAGACCGTTCAAATTTAATTTAAACGGTTCAGATTAAACCTCTACATCAAATGAGAGGCAGAGGAAGAGAAGCTGAGTCCGTCATGAAGCATCCATTTCTTCCTCCCCCTCCTCCGTTGTACCTTATTTTTTGTTGGGGGGGGGGGGGAACCGAATATTATATTTCAGATTCACATGAAAATGCGCCCCCTCAAGCACTTATGAATCGAAGTTTTACTGTTTCTATAGTTTATACTGTTAAGTTTGCGGTTTACCCTCCTTGAATATTCCAACATCTGAACAGAAAATTCCTCTTTCATGTATGTGTGTGTGTGTAATATTTAAGCTTGTGTTTGATGTTACAAAAGTTGATATAGTTTAATTTTTCAAAGTCTCTTTCGAGTTTGAGTCAACTTTCTCCGCGTAAACCGACCGGGACTCTAATCTATTTCTCAATTCATAGTCACATAAAGTCGGCGGCGTTGGCCAAGGAAAAAAAAAAAAAAAGGGTCGGCGGCAAAATTTGTTCCATTAGAGTTTAATTTCTTTGCCTCCCCCCACCCAACACCCCCCACCAAAAAAAAAAAAAAAAAAGAGAGAGACAGAGAGAGAATGACTGTGACACATATGAAGGCCAAAATTTATATTACGAACGAGTATATTGTGTGTCGAAGAACTTTGACCAAGGTAATGTAACATGATAGCACCCCAAAGACCCTGTTTGGCAGGATGCGAGAGGCTTTGGAGAAATTGAAAATAGAAAAAAAGAAGCAACACCGTAACAAGAAAATGAATGAAAATTATCGAGAGGTGCTTGGTTCAAGGCTTTCTAAAATGCTGGAATGGAATAAAAATAAATAAAATTGAATTTTAAAAATATGCATGACATATGTTAGAAAACTTAAATGAAATTGCAGTATAAAAAATTAAAATAATTTTCTTTTGAGTAAAGCACCCTTGGCACATCAATCCATAAACAATAAAGCCATGAGAATCACCTTAACTCACCATTGGAAGGCTGTGTTGAGTGTGACCACAAACGAGAGGATTGAGTGAGAAAGATGAAGATGAGATGAGTGAAAAATGAGTGGGTGAGAATGTGGTATTTGAATTTGAGAGGTAAATTATGTGTGTCACTAAGAATTAGAACTAAGACAGCAAGTGAGTTGGGATTAGCATTGGAAAAAAAATCCATTAAAAAAAAATTTGGGGGCTCATAGCTAGCTCAAGCTAAACTCATTTCTTTTGGGCTTGTTAGAGTTTGAAGAGTTGTTTTTTCCCGCCTTTTCTTAAAGCCTAACTCTGTTAGATATATTCGGGCCAAAAAAAAAAAAACTCCGTTAGATATATCATATATGGGGAAAACGAGATTATGGGATTGGTCCGAAATTTAAAAATATGACTAGATTATTTTTTAACAATGTATTTATCATATATAAACGGGCAAAAAAGATGAAACCTGATTATTTTTAAGTTTAAAAAGAAAATAATGATAATGTCCATATATATATATATATATATATATATCTTTTTCTGAAAAAATAAGTTAATTAAATCATGCATGACATATACGAGTTGAAAGTGAAAATGCTAGTCTAAGCTGCGTTTAGTTCATTAAAAAGATTGTGTTAGGACTTCGGATTGTTTTAAATGAGCCTGAGCCTTGAGCTTATCTGAATGTTTTACACCAATTGATGATCTGCACCATGTTATTAAAAATTGCATGTATTTCAACTTGGCTTATGTTTAATTTATATCGTTTTGACAAAATAACGGGAAGAAATCGAGGAAAATGTCATAGTCACAGAGAAGACCATCATTTTTTTTTTCCCCAAATGGATATGTTATTTTACATCAAAAAGAATAACCATACATGTCATCATCCTATCATAGTGATCACAAAAATGGAAAAGAATGAAAGAATTGAAACCTAAAGTTTTAAATCATCCCCTAACTACACTGAAAATAATAAATGGAATGATTGGATTGCTGCTCTGTCTTAATTATGAAGTTTTGCATTCTGGAGGCAGACCTTGAGGGAACCTCTTAACATCTGCGCAGTAATTGTAGATCATGTAGTTTTTCTGTACCCATCTCAGTCTGTCTTGCGAAGCAGTGTCAAGTTCTTGTGAGACCCATGAAGAACTAGTGGATGAAGTTGAAGTGGAAGCACAAGATGATTTGCCAGAAGACCAGACGCAAGCATCAGCTTTGAAGTTTCTGTAGGAAGCAGTGAAGGGAGCATGAGTCCAGTCCGTCTTCACAAGGCCACCTCTTGTTGCCCAGTCATCTGCATTCCACAAGCTTGAGTATATCCTCATTGGCTGGTTCTTCGGGAATGGGACACCAATGGACTCTGAGTTCTTGAACTCTCTGATAGGAGTTCCATCCACTGAGAATCTGAATCAACAAAGGAAACAGAATGATATATCAGTCTATGCAGTATTAGATGATGAGAAGAGAAACACGTGGAAATGATTGGACGGAGAATAAGAACATACATGATTCTTTGGGCGTTCCAGAGGATAGAGTAAGTGTGGAAATCTGCGGTTGGATCAAACCAGAGATAGAACTGCTGCTCTCTGTTTCCTTTGCCTTGGCTGAACACGTTGGTGTGAAGGACATATGGATCACCACTGAGGTTTCCCAGAAATTCATAGTCAATTTCATCCCAGTTTGATCCCTTTGAAGACAACTGCAAGTGCCAGCAAAGACTCAGATTTAGTTATGTCACATTGGGTTCAAAAATCATTTGCAGTGGCAAGAAAAACAAAAACTTACATAATAGGCAGTGACAGTGCCAGCAGAGTTTCCAGGGACGAGCTTGAGCTGCATGTCGATCTTGCCAAAGAGATACTCATTCTTGGATTGAAAACCAGAGCCTGATGCTTTGTCCAGCGAGAGAGTGAGAAGCTCACCATTGTTGAGCATCTTGCCTCGACCATCTCCCCAAGTGATATCAAACTCTTGGTTCAAATTACCAGCAAGGGCAACAACCATGAGAGAACTAATAACAAGGGGAAGAAGAAGCATTACTGATACAGTTGTAGAACAAGCCATTTCTGAAGAGATATGCGAGGGAAGAAGGGAAGTGAGGTTTGGTAATTGATGAAAGCTGGAAGGATGAGAATGGCAATGAAATGGGAGGAGGATGGTATTTATAAGAAGAATGGGAAGCGAGTAGAAGGGAAGGAAAGGGAGTGGAAGTTGCAGAGAGCTAGCAAGCTGTCATGGATGGACAGTACAGTTGTTGTGTTGCTCAGAAAGAGAAGTAATGATTCACAGATTAGCTGTGCAGAGGGCAATCGTGTACTAAATATTTGACCCGTTGTATTAAATTGGGATCTTTAGGAGAGAGGTTGTAATCTGTGAAGCAGCCAGCCGTCCCCTTTTATTAATCAATTTGCTGGGGACCACCTCCAACTCAACACGCAACTTATATATATTGTTGTCCTAAACTTGACGGCCCTTCATCGCCGTGGCCCACTTGACTTGAGGGGACACAAGGAGGAAACATCCTTGTGTTGTGCCTCTCCCTCCCTTACGCAAGGTGAAATTGAATACTATATTTCATGCTCACGTGACATTGTGCTCCCTCTCCTGTCAAGCACGTGACCAAATTTTACTGCTTTAGTAGTTTATAGTTTACACTTTACACACTCATCTTTTTTTTTTTTTTTTACCATCCTGAGTTTTCCCATTACCCTCTCGAATGTTCCAACTTCCAACATGTTTTCTTGAAGATCTTCAACCATTGGTTGAAGCTTGAGATTGTTCAAGTTAAAAGCAATTTCTCAACCAGATGAAAAATCTTCTCAAGAATATCTGAACTGGAAAATTCCTCTCTCTCTCTCTCACACACACACTCTTCTTCTGTTTTTAAATATATAAAAAAAAACTATCACATATCTCTTTGTTTTTATTTATAAATAAAATTTTAAATTTTAAAAAGAATTTATTACATTTTTTCAAATTGTCCCTTATAAAATCAATGCTTATTTTCACTAGAAAAATTTGTTTAATTAATTATAAAGAAAATTTATTATAATTTTTTAATTTTAAATATGATTATTATAATTAATTAACTTTTTAAATCAGACTAAATTAATTTTTTTTTTATATTTACAAATAAAGGGTGTGTGTCTGTGTGTAAGCTTGTGGTCGACGGTAGGTACTAAGGCTAAAAATATATTATGAAAGGTATTTTTGAACTGTATATTACTATTATTATTCATAACTTGGCACATTTTAAAATGTTCATTTAATTTCATTTATAGATTATGATGTAATTTTTTAGGTATTATTTAGGGTGTGTTTGAATTTTAATTGAAAAAAATTAATTTTTAAAATATGATGATGTTTGGATAAATTTTTAAAAATTGATTGTGATAAAGTTGATGATGTTTAAATAATTTTTTTAAAATTAATTTTGAGTGAGTAATTCTACTATTCAAAATGACAAGTTAATAATGTTCAGAATTAATTTTTTAAAATGAAACAAATTTTAGCTTATCCCAAATAAAGTTTTAGAAAAAAATAAAGTTTGTGAAAATTAGTGTGTTTGGATAAAATTTTTCAAAACCCATAGTCTTGAATTTAGAATTGATTCTAGAAGGATATTCAAATAGACTCTTAAATATTTTTTAAAATTATCCTTCATGGAAGGAAAAAAATAATATGACATTACTTTTTTAACTTATTATATAGAGACATATTTAAAATTTTACACACTTTTTTTTTTTTTTTTTTTGCATTAATATCAATAAAGTTGGTAAAAATAATTTATAAAAAAAGATAAGAGAAGTACGGCTCAACAAACATAAATAGCAATTTTGTCCATATTATATAACATAAATTAAAATTCTTCTATGTATGGGATTGTCCTTACATTTGGTATGCATTAATTAATTGTACTATTCTGTACGCTGTGTTTGGGTGTAGCAATCATCTTTACATTAGAGAGATTGATTACATTAAAATTTGCAACTTCTTCACATCTGAGCTGTGTGTGGCACTCCGTGTGCATGTATGTAATACTGTTGGGGAAAATCATGAAAAACCAGCCAACGATTTGTCATGCAAAATATCAACTGTGACTATGAGGTCCTCAGAAAATTATATTAATATGATTGTGTTCCAATTGTTTTCAACAAGTACTTAGTAGCTTGAATTTATCTGATCTTTCTTCTGTTTTTCCACTAAGTTTTCGCATCCTATTTGATTCCATGACTTCTTGAAAAAATGACCATACAATCACTTGAATTATATAAATAGTAATTTAATCTTTTAAAATGTCATAATTTTACTCAGATTTTTAGAAACTCTTATGTTAATAAATTTTAAATTGAAAAAATTATTTTATGATTTCATTCAATTCTTAAGATTCTTTAAATAAAAGTTGTGATTAGAGTTTGTTATTTTAAAATTTTATTTTTTAATAACATAAATTATACTTGATAAATTATTATTATTTATTTTACTCTTATGATTTATATAATAAAAGTTATTCCTTAAATAAAAGTTATGATTGAAGCTTATTATTTTGAGAACTTATTTTTTAATAATAAAAATTACATTTGACATTTTTTGTTCAATTCATACGATTTACAAAATAAAATTTGTTATTTTTTAAAAGAATTGTGATTAGGGTTTGTTCTTTTCAATAAGAGTGAAATAATCTTTTTATTTTAAAATTTATTGAAATAGAAATCCCTAAAAAAAATTGTGATATTTTGATAGATCAAGCTATCATTTGTATAATTTGGGAAGGATTTTGTTGTCATTTTACCAAAATTCTTTTCTTTAACCTTGTTTCATTTTTATCGTTAACAAAATAACCTGAAGAATATGATGGAAAATGTAACAGAGAAGACCATCATTTTACTACGAAATGATCTATTTTACATCATAAAGAATAGCCATTATGTCATCACACCATCACAGCGATGACTACAATGGAAACGAACGAATGAATTGAATCCAAAATTTTCACATCCACAAATTATAGTTACGTAACCGTTACTGAGAAAAATAAATTTCGCTGCTCAGTTTTGCCTTAGGAGGCTCTGCATTCTGGAGGAAGACCTTGAGGAAACCTCTTAACATCTGCGCAGTAATTGTAGATCATGTAGTTTTTCTGTACCCATCTCAGCCACTCTTGTGAAGTAGTGTCAAGCTCTTGTGAGAGCCACGAGGAACTGGTGGAGGATGAAGATGATGAAGTTGAAGGACAAGATGATTTGCCAGAAGACCAGACGCAAGCATCAGCTTTGAAGTTTTTGTAGGAAGCAGTGAAGGGAGCCTGGGTCCAATCCGTCTTCACGAGGCCACCTCTTGTTGCCCAGTCATCTGCATTCCACAAGCTTGAGTATATCCTCATTGGCTGGTTCTTCGGGAATGGGACACCAATGGACTCTGAGTTCTTGAACTCTCTGATAGGAGTTCCATCCACTGAGAATCTGAATCAACAAAGGAAACAGAATGATATATCAGTCTATGCAGTATTAGAAGATGAGAAGAGAAACACGTGGAAATGATTGGATGGAGAATAAGAACATACATGATTCTTTGGGGGTTCCAGAGGATAGAGTAAGTGTGGAAATCTGCGGTTGGATCAAACCAGAGATAGAACTGCTGCTCTCTGTTTCCTTTGCCTTGGCTGAACACGTTGGTGTGAAGGACATATGGATCACCACTGAGGTTTCCCAGAAATTCATAGTCAATTTCATCCCAGTTTGATCCCTTTGAAGACAACTGCAAAACCAAAAGAAGACAGATCAGATTTAAATTGCCGTACATAAACCTTGAAAGTTAATGTTTTGCAAAATTGACAATAAGCAAAGAAACTTACATAATAGGCAGTGACAGTGCCAGCAGAATTTCCAGGGACGAGCTTGAGTTGCATATCAATCTTGCCAAAGAGATACTCATTCTTGGATTGAAAACCTGAGCCTGATGCTTTGTCCAGTGAGAGAGTGAGAAGCTCGCCATTGTTGAGCATCTTGCCTCGACCATCGCCCCAAGTTATGTCAAACTCTTGGTTCAAATCACCAGCAAAGGCAACAACCATGAGAGAACCGACAAGAAGAGGAACCAGAAGCATCACTGATACACATCTGAAAGAAGCAGCAGATGAAGCCATGTTGTAAGAGAGAGATTGGAGTGATTTTTTCAAATAGCTAGTGAAGTTTGAAGGATGAAGATAAGAATGAACTTGGGGTCGGCATTTATAACCAGCAGGCGTAGCGAATAGAGAGTGAGGAAATGAGGTCGAAGGTTCAGTGAGCTAGCTATGGATGTGTTGTATTGTGGAGTTGTTGTGTTCCTCTAAAACAGAACTCTATGAGTAACGTATTAGCTGTCCAGATCGCACTCGATTTAGGTACTATTCAATTCAATACCAAATTATTAACGCGTTGTCTATTAAACTTGAACGAAAAGCTTAGGCCTGTCACGGCTCAACTTTTTAATCTTCATTGAATTGATCTGTGGGTCCCACTGCCAGCAAAGAAAGCAACTTTTGCAGCTATATTTTTATTCCACCAATAGGAGAGGCCCTCCACCGCCATGGATGGGCCTGCTTCAGAGAAACATGGGCAAAAAACGTCATTGTCTTTATCCTGTTCCTAACACACGCACGTGCTTAGGCGCTTCAAATCACGTGTAGCCTATTCCAACGTCTCTGGTTGAAACCAGCGAAGAACTTGACAGTTTGTTCTTGTAAAGAAACTTGGGAAGAGACCGAACTGCATGTAGTAATTTCTTATCTCTCGTGCCAACTACGCTAGTCCTCTTAATCTTAAATGCTTCCAGGTTTTAAGTATAAAGGCAACCTTTTTAGTATTAAAAGTTGTCAATGTGTAGATTGACAATAGTAATAATTTGCCATAACATTTTTCTAAGGTTATAGTATTAAAAATTTAAAGAGCTTTGTATCAAGTTAATGGTTGAAATTCAAGCGTTAAGAATAAATACAAATAAATTATAGAGATGAAAGTTAGAGATTTCCTGAACCTGTAGTTATGATTAAAAAAAAAAATCAAACGAACATATGATATTTTCGTGTCTGGCATTTTTGGAGAGAATAAGAATAACAACTTTGCGTTTTGATGAGAAATTCTCTGAACTTGATG